TCAGGCTGAAAATGAAAATGACTTTTAAAAGGATTTTTTATCTATTCTATTTTACTATATTATGTCCTCAGTTATTTACAAACACTCAGCAATCAGTTCTGACTACGCTCTCCATCCTGACTCGCCTATCACAGGAGGCCCAGTGGGGCGGTGCGGGAGGAGAGCTTGGCCTCCTGTGACAGCTGACAGGTGTCTCTTCCCCACACCTCCCCGTTTAGCCTCCTGACAGTTTCTCTCCTCCCCACTAGGCATCACTCTGTGTTCCCTCCGATCCCCGCTGCTTCTGCTGACACCAGCGGTGGAGGAGAGAAGCTAGGGAATCACCTTATTTTCAGCTGTTTTTGGTACTATCGGCATTTTGCCCCTAGTACCATGTTTCAGCAGCCAACATTTCAGTGCATCCCTAATGTGTATATTCAAATATACAATGGTCATATCTGAGTCATTTATAATTTATAAAAATAGCTGTTTGTCTGCTAGAAATCTAGTGCTGTCCTATGTTCAGTGCACTCTGCAGTGTTATCAACCCTGCTCAGTTCTCCTCTGTGACAGACAGAAGACCCCCTCCCCATGTTATGGAGATGAGAGGAGAGGGAGGTATTCAGTAGTCCTACCACACTTTTTGTCCTAGGGTGATAACGCTACTCCTACGCAGATACAAAACAGTATATTGTTACCTTAGGACAGGAAGTGTGTTACTGGCAGGATCACCGTGTTAAAATAAAGCTGGAAAGGAAATCTAATGTAGCTGCTGGATCTAAGGGCTAGTAAACGGCAAGATATTTATTTTTGTTCTTGGGTTTAGATCATCAGCATGATGTAGCTAATTGTTGTTCCTTTAAACTACTGACAGAGAACATTTATAATGTGATAAAAGTGCTCTGTTATACAACGATTGGCCACAACATTATGACCACTGAGAGGTGACATGAATAACATTGATTATCTTATCACAATGGCGCATTTTGTCCCTGACATTGATGTGTTGTAAGCAGAAAAAATGGGTGATTGTAAGGATTTGTGTGACTTTGACAAGGGCCAAATTGTGATAACTGGATGACCAATAGTAGTCCAAGGAAGGAGAACTGGTGAAGTAGCGACAGGGTCATGGATGGCCAAGGCTCATTAATGCATTTGGGGAGCGATGGCTGGTCCATGTAGTCTTATCCAAGAGAACAGCTACTGTAGCTCAAATGGTTTGGTGCCAGGTACCACAGCATACCTTCAGAGGTCTAGTGGAGTCCATGCCTCAAGGGGTCAGGGCTGTTTTGGCAGCAAAAGGGGGGGCCTACTAAATATTAGGCAGGTGGTCATAATGTTATGGCTGGTTGGTGTATGTAAAGAAAACTAAAACAAAATATAAAAACACAATGTGTTATTGCTTCTCTTACCTTCGTACACAATTGCAAATCCCTGGGCCTGATTAACTCGGTCGGAGAAGAAATACAAGATGACAAAGTCTAATGAGATGTTAAAACTGTGTATAGGATGGTTCCTGCCATCAAAGCGCACCAACACTTGCTTTGTGTAACCATCCAAAAGCTCCACCATATCTCGGGAGTCTTTTATGTCGAAGAAGGTGAAGTTAAATCGGATCAAAGAAGCTCCCGGTACTTGAATAGTCCAGTAACAGGCTTTTCCTGATCCGTATGAGTCTGGAAAATCTGGAGAGTAGATAACAGCAGCATCCTTGGTGTAATTTCCACCACAGGCTCCAATCAACGCTATGAAGAAAGAAGATTACACTTTTGTTATTTTCACGTACAGTTTAATCAGGAAAATACAGCGAAAGCACAAGATGAACAAAGATGCACAAATATGTTAACCCAGAGCTGACTAGAATCTAGCATGGGCTTATCACTATATGTTTATTGATGGGTCTATATCTGAATGGCTTTTCTTTTTTATCCACTACACCCTTGAATTGAGAATTACCTAATAATAAACAATGAAAACCATGTCCTGCAGTATAATTACAAACATTCCTGTATGTTGGTGGGTATGGTGCTGGGAAAAGATAAAATAGGATTCTGTTCAGTTCAGGATTGTGAGGATTTCATGATTTTAGGGTTAGGTAAAGACAATGTAGAATGGTTTTGCAAATGTTTTATGGTCAGGATAAAAAAAAAAAAAAGACAATTTTTTTCATGTTTTTAGTCAGATAAATATGAAATATTACATAATAATATTTTCTATTTGAGCCAGCCTGTTTAAAGACTCAATGAGAGCAATTCCTTACCAGATGGCTAAAGGATTGAATACAACAGAAAACAACTCCTATGATATCTCTTTAGCTAACCCATATTGCTCTGCAAATCCTTAATGTTTATTTGTCAAACATATGGAACCTGATAAAGTATACATGGCGACCTCTGTTTATTAGGTGCATATTGCACAGTGACAGCGCACTGGGTGTGCGCTGTCACCGTAAAGGAAGCGATACAGCAAGCTGAAGCAGCTTCTTGATATCCCTTCTTCTCACCTTTTTTGCCTGATCATGAAGTGACTGTCAAGGGAAAAGAGAGAAGTACAGCCACAGAGCAGCACAAAACAGCACAGAACTTCCTGCTGCCTCTGGTGAGCTTGGGGACCTGCTGGTTGCCTCCTCACCTCGACTCGGCTTGCACATGGAGGAGGCAGTCTCTCCCAGCTTAGTCTCCCACACTTAAGTGTCTGCACAGATGCTTATTAGAGGGAGTCAGTCAGCCCAATGTGCAGATCTGTGTCTGGTCAGACCAGGTTCAGATCTGCGGCTAATATCTGCACTACATTGCAGTGCAGGTTAAAATTATGACAGACAGGCACAGTTTACAAGGCACTTAAAAAGCAACTTACCTGCGACAAATCACAGGTTTTTTTCAGGTTTTGGCACACATGTCACAAATCATGTTTAACATAGGCGCACTATGTTGATGATTTGGTGCTTCACTACTTAGAGAGCCACTAGTGTGGAGTAAAGGTGCAGGTTGGGACACCAACTTCATTGCTTGCAGGCTTACTATGGAGCAGTGGCTTACTGAGTAATTAAGCCAAGACAGCTAGAAACTAGCAATTTATAAAAAAAAATATTAGCAATGGCAGTTGTGATAGTTGTGTCATGACAGGTTTACTTGAGACTATAAATGAGCAGTATATACAATGCCTTGCTGTTGGAATGTGTTCAAACTTATAAATAGTTTCTGAGAACAAGAAACAAACTCCATGTGAGGTCTGGTTGACCACAAACCAGGATATTTCATACAAATCTTTAACTGAAGTAATGCTTCAGTATGTCAAAGTTGACATTTCTAAAGATGCATCTCTCTCCTCATTTTTCTTTCGAAGATGCATTACTTACTTCTTAGTACTATACCGAACTCATTTCTGAGGTGAGAAAGAGTGACACATTGTAGTGCAAAATATTCAGTCAATATAAACCCTATTTTTCGGATCAAACCAGTTACACTCACTGATGCGTTTTTCACTACTGCCCTTCATTAATACTAGCATTTATAAATAACCAATGAAACCATTTGGCTAAAGTTAAGTGTCTTGTATAAAAGAATGCTGACAGACTGGCGTAATATGACAGAAGAGACTGTGTGAGTCTCTTCTGGCATACATCCTTCTTTCTGCCTGCCAGAACTTTTTTTATTTTTCTATTATGCTATGCTATGCATAGTATGGATAAAAGCTCCTTGGGGCTCTTTTTAATGTTTGTTTTACTTTACTTCTGCTTTAAATTAAACATTTAGTGCAATATAAACACTCTGAACAGTTACAGCCAAACATTGTTTTCTTTTCAACTGGGTGTTAAAACCCCTGTCAGGTTGTTATTGCTGTCTAACCCCCCCCTCTGGGGAAATTCTCTCTATCAATTTATCCTGATGCTTACTGTCTCTGACACTGAAAGTAATCCGGGGAAATCCAAAAAAGTTAGAGTCACAGGAGCAAGAACGGAGGAGAACTCTTCCAATGGGGACATTCAATGGGTTTCTTGGCCTGTTAAGGGTTATAATTTCTTTTTGCTTCTCCTTCTTTGTAATGCTAGGAGGGGCTGTGAGGGATTAAATGATTACATCCCAGGCTTCTCCAATGTATTTAGATGACGTTAATGAGAGAAACACAATCCTCAAATTTCAGTCTTTCTATAAGGACAGATCACTGTGAAGGTACTCAACAAACCTGGAATCAGCCACGTTGCATGCTGCTACAAAACTTCTAAAAGGTAAGAAATATTAAAAAGAAATATATATTTTTTTTTTCCGTTATGCTGTGTGAAAAGGAACACACAACAAACATATAGAGAGGTTTTCTCAAATTTGACTGCAAAAGTGGAAATACACTTAAGTTTTGTTTAAAGTGTACCTTAAAGGACCCAGGAGGGGGCCAAACCATACCTGACTCCATGCAGAACTCAAAATATATATATAAAAAAATTGTTATAATTTAATTTGCCTTTACTACCATTAGAGGATTAGTATTCGTCAAAATGTTGTTTGCTAACCTCAAGTGGAAAGTAAGCAGCAGAAAAGATTACTATATTAGAGCATTCACTTTGAATGATGGTCATAACTTTAAACAGATCTATTTTGCTATATTATATACTTCTAACGGGTGTGACAACAATAACAAATACAAAATATGACAAATATGAGTGATGGCACCTCCTTGGTCTAAATACAAGCTGCATTTTGCTGCAATTACCTTTTCAGTCTCTAGATAGAAGAAATGAATATGAATATGAAGATATAGTTTCATATATTCATTCCACTTACCAAATATAAGACAATAAATATAAAAGATTGGTTATATAACATGGATTTCATTTACCAATGGTGCAAACCTCACCATGTACATGTGGAAGAAGGCTGTGGATTTATGTTACATATACATATATTACATATCCTAAAAGATCTGAAGGCAAGTGCCTGTACTAAGTGGATGTTTACTGAACAAGTATCAGTGGCAGAAGCTTAGAACTAGACAAGTGTCTGGGCATCCTATGTCCTTTTTGCCTAGCAAATGTTTGTCCAAATGGCTTATCGAAACATTTGTGATGTTGAAAGGTTGAGAAGAACCTTGATGTGACATTTGCATAACTAAAATGGTTGACTCTATGTTTTTAATATTGCAGTATAAATATAAAGTCACATGAAGTGGGTCTGCCAAGAATTGTGGGAGTGATTACAAAAATCTCATTGTGTGCAGACAAACTTCCTAAAAATGCCAAGAATGCAAAACTTGGAGAGACTGACAATTGCAAATATATCCATCTTTGCAGATTAGAAACTAAAACTTGAGTTCTGAAACTCATAAATTAGCAGTTTTGAAGTTGATTGAGGTTGGTATTATATAAAGTTCAACTAACAAAACATTTATGCCCATGTGTGTTACAAACATTTAACTAAATGCTAAAAATTCAGAAAGCTTGGACAGGATTATTACAATCATTGCACACACATTTGGATTTAGCCAATAACGAAGCTGAAAAGCAACTACAAAAGGTTACACCTTACGATAATCGTGGGAAATCCAGCGATCGTACGATTATGGTAAGCTGTGTGGAAGCCGTGCGACCTCTACTACTGTAAGGTCACACGACTTTAAACTTACGAACATGTTTGAAAACCCGCCGAGCATCGTACGATGTTCAGCGGGTGTGTAGCATGTTCGTAAGATAAAAGCCAGACGGGGCCGGTGTGCGCAAGCATTGCGGTCATCGGAAGCCCGCCCCTCAGGGGGCGTGGCTTGCGATCATCACAAGTACGATCTGCCTATGCAAGATAGGCAGATCGTACGTTTTTTTTAAGTACCTTACAACCATCGCAAGACAAAAGTCTTGCGATGGTTGTAAGGTGTGTACCCAGCCTAAGAGTGTAGAGTGCAGTAACCAAGGCCATCCAATCAAAATATAGTTTAGTATGGTGAGATCAGTAAAAATAATTTTCTTTTGGTTGCTATAAATTACTGCACATGGCTCCTAATCTTTTCTCTCTGTAGAGACTAACTAAGTAGCCCAGAATGTCTCCACAGGAAAACAATCTGTGAAGGTAACTACCCTCCCTTTACCGTATACATCCTTGTATGCTATCTGACCCTTATATTTCTGCCACAAATCACATAAAATATATGAAAAATACAACCATGTAGTAAATGTTTTTGGCTATTGATGTTTAACCTGTATAACTAAATTTAAGGCTTTCATGAAAAAAGCCTTAGGCCCCATTCACGCCAGATGCATTGGCATCCGTTTTTAGAACGGAAGCCAACACAAGGAAATCTGAAAATGAATGGGTGTGAATGGGAGCAGTTCAAACCACTGTACTGCATTGATGTGCACTGCCCTCCACTAAAAAAAGGAGAGTATACTCTCCTTTTTTCCAGCGCAATGCTACATAAAGAAACACGTATTTAATGCGTGTCAACACAACAGACATCAACGCAGGGCAGAACCGATACCTTATATAGTTAGCATAAAAATAAAAAAAACAAAACAAAAAACGCAACGTAACACAATGCATGTCAAAATACTATGCCAAAACAAGTGAACGCACATGCGTTAAGTCACGTCAAACGCACACATTTGACTGTGAAAACATCCTTAGGGATATAGTCATAAGTGAATGTGACATTCACCAGTCATTCTCTGCAGGTGAATCAATGAACTGTAATTTAAAATACATGCACCAGGATGATACACCTGTAGTGAGTGTCACATTTACTGCTTGAAAAATACCCCTCT